TAGYGGGACAGCGATTGCACGATAGAAGGTGGAAGTCAATATCAAGCATTTGATGGGAAATGCTCACTTATCTACTGAAACACATAGAAATTAAACAAACCACCATCTAAAATCATCATAGAAACCACTGCATTTGATGGGTAAGTAACAAAGTAATTGTATATCGTGCAATATGATCCGACAACCTTTTTTGAAATGGAAGTGTATATGTAATCATAAATGGTAAGTGTTTGTTTGTGAGCAAGAATGATTCACAAGACCTGACCGTTAAGTTGACTGGGTGACTTAATGCATTATTGATTTTAATGACTGATTGAATATGAAAATGCATATATGAGTCCAGCAGTTTTCATTTAAAAGTGCAGTTTTATGCTGTAGTTTATTATGTTGTGTGGATAGCCTGTTTTGGGTCTCCTGTTTCACGCGTTAGGAGCTATTGAAGAGGTCTGGAGACCACAGCTCAATGACGTCATTCACGGCACTAAGTTGTTGAGATCGGTATTTTTAACATCCAAATGTCATCCAAATTCTATCAAATTCCATACTTAAGGTTACTGCTCCCTTTCGCGGGATTCCATTGTAAAATAAATCATATCTTTTCTTCATTAAATAATACCTAAGCATCGCATGGTACTACTTCTATTTCTTCAATACCTAAGCATATTATACATCGTTTTGAAGCAATACAATAATTTAAATGTCCATGACATTGGTTTGTAATAATATTTAATAAGTAGTTAATTACTCGGGGTTCCAAAGGAACTGCGAGTTTAAATTTCGGCTGTCTTTTCGTCGTCGTCTTTGTTTCACAAATTGTCTCGGCCAAACTAGAAGGCACTGGGAACGAATGTTATCATGTGCTATCTTTATGGTGGCGAGTGTACACGAGATGATCGAAAGACATGGATTTAACTTGCTCAAATCACTTACAAATCCAAAACATCAGTCGCGGTATAGTCACACTAAAAAATGTCGAGCGTTTTTCGCAAGGGCATTTGGAGAGATACCATGAATTTATCGTAAAACTTATAGTTAACAATTAGACCTCGAACTAGTGAACGACTTCAGTGACAACAACTAGTCACATGTTTGTTACTCGCTCGATATTTTTAAGTTTTGACGAGTATATAAAACGATATTTTACTCGTCAACATTATCCCTAACACGTTATTTTTTTTTCATTATTGAAGCTGTTCAATCACTAATGATAAGAATTCAAAATAGTTAGCCTTGCCCAGACTCCGCCGGGCGGGCTCTCTTAAAATGCAAGTCATTTTTCGGTCGGGTCGGGTCGAGAGTCCCATTCCCCCACCTGGTGAAGAGATGTTAGACAGAAAGATTACGTCACACGACTTCGCAATGTTCCAAAAATAGTTTAGATCTAGTTCTTTATCTCTTCACTGCCCTACTTAGCGAATCGAACCGCTTGGAACGTCTGCTACAGTGGCTATGCCCTACTCGTGCCGAAGTATATATGGTAGGTATTTGCAAAATGACGGCACATGTGGGTCCATGAGTTTTTTGGAAAAAAAAGGTATTCCAGATCCTAAAGTAACTATAGGCRCGTCTTCACTTTGGAATCCAGAGTTTTTTGGGATTTTTTTCGATATCACACGGGTTAGTTACAAAGAATACTAAGCGGACTAAACTGAAAAAAACCGCTATCAAATAGCCGATATCAGGGTCGCTCTTTTTTCCAAGTTCAGGGACAGTTTTCACTTTATAAAAGCTATATACATTATTTACCTTTCAAAACTTCAAGATCRACAATAAGCTCTGCAATAACTATAGCACAATCCAGCACAACCAGACCGACAATGAAGTATTGGGCTCGTTGACAATGAAGCAGTTCTTTCAGCTTTGACCTATGGTTTGTGCACCTATCAAATAATGTCAACAGAAGTTGTAATTACAAGATAACCTTATACTGCTTCTGTTGCTACGATTAAGCTAGATAACAATGTTAATAATGATGAATGAAATKAAATTTAAATTATACACTGATGACGATGATGATGATGATGCAATACTACCTAATAAGTCACCATCGGGACTTTTTCCTCTGTTCGCCGCCGAATAAAGAGTCTTTGAGGATAAATAGAGAAATTGGAACTTTTTGATATGCTCGCCCAATTTACGACTTTCAAAAATGGCTCGATATGTCACGGTTGCCGACCAGAGCACTGGGGATGAAGCACTAAAACGAGGTCTCAATGGCAAGCCTTCAATGGTGTCTTGCAAGASTGTTTTGTTATAAATAACATACTCAATACATCTTTCAAACTTTTGGGCACTACATACATGAGATCGTCGTAGTGATTTCTAGATAAAACGCCTTCGAGGTCTCGTTTCCATGATTCGTCACTAGTCCCCTTCAGGATCCCATGTCCCCGATATTGGCGGTCGTGAACTTTTAGTCTATTTCGCCAATTTTTGAAGGTCGTATATAGAGGTACCACTGCAATAACATCTCACATAGGCATCATCACTAAGAGTCACGGACTTCTTGTCTCTTTCTGTGAGCCTTGATCAACTAACTGCTTCAGAACTCGCCAGTTAACTCCTTTTCGCAGTAATAATTAACGGTTGAAATAAACGGTTCTTTCAGAATAGGAATTCAACTGTAATTATTTGACATTTATTTCGCACTGTTTCCTTGTTATTTTGCGAGCTTTGTCTACTCAAACAAAAGTGACGGTCAAAACCGCCACGTCAACGAAATCACTTACACGGTTTTATAATGAATTCTACCAATCTGTGATAGATCACAGTGATTAGMAAATCCAAGATTGAAGTTATTTGAGGGATTAGAAAAAAATATCAGTAAATAATCCGTGTGCCAAACATTTCGTTGGATATGCTGTATTTCTTAGATCAAAAGTTAGYCCATCTCTTGCAAATTTCCCCTTGCGTCCACATTTTTTTCATACTATTAAGCAATCTTCGAGGTGGCTAGATTTGATGTGTTTGTTTACGTACATTCTTGCTCAAAAATGCCTGGTTTCAGATTCATATCCACATGCGAATTTGAGCCATATAATTAATAAATTACTGGTTATAATTRTTACTTCCGCGATACCTCGCACAGCATCCATCGCAACCCGGAAATCGTCTATWTATACGATCCGGGTCGACGAATCCAGGACATCTAACTAACRAMCATTAGTGCTGCATGCAGGCCCGCAAGAAAAGATAAATACCGACAAATTCTCTATGGAACACGAGTAAACGCTTTAAGAGCGTTTTAACTATAAAACATAATATATTATTAACCAAACAGTGTTTCCTTTAACGAAGCAGAAAAACATTTTTACGTAGGCAACCATGCATTTGCTTTTGTTCGCCTACTTTACTAYCGATTTCGATTGARGCAATTTTTMGAAYGTGAAAGACCAGGAAAGACTGCTCGAACGCAACGCCTGGCACCGACCTGCTTGCGGGTTCATGCATAATATAATCAATTTCCTTGARTTTATGATACACAATGATGTGTGAGGATCTTATAAATATGTCACGTAATGCATGTATACAAGTAKTAGGTCTTAAACACAAATTATAACTCCGTAAATACTTGTAACTAYTTATGTGTTTACGTACCAATGAGTATTAGAAGCAGCCTCGGAATCGRCGRCTGATTTAGAGTCCATTTGCAAAGATTCGACATCAAATTCAAGTCTTCCAACTAACTGCTGGTCATCACGATCCATRTGAAGTATTTGATTGGGTTGATTGATTAATATCAATAAACCACCTGAAATGCGCGTGACACAAGTTCCTTAGCAGCCGATCACATGCAAACGGTTGTTCTAAACCTGGAATAATCTTGGGCTCCCTTTGCCAATATGGCGGCTGACATTTATTGGGCATTTGTTTGAACATCTAGTCTTCAAATAATCCATGAGAATTGCAATAMTATCTGGGTTTTTGGAATGAAAATGTCCTAAGAACATTTTTTAAATGGAAATGATCGACGATTTCAAGGTATTTATTTAATTTCGTGTTCAATCGACATTTTTCTCAAGTTAGGCGTGTAAGCTTGATCAACTACATGTACAATGTAAGCTTACGTTACCTTCAAAAGCTATAATGTTTATAATATAAAAATGAGGAAAGAAATAAGCAATGCAATTTACGTTTTTCGATTCTTTTSACTGAACTTAAAGGTTTCTCACGTCTTGAATCTTACTGTGTAATGTGAGCTGGTGTTTTTAGGACTTAAGCTTAACTTAAGCTTAAGTTTACGTTTTTCATGGCACCCACAAAATTGGCTCAGCAAAAAAAACTAAAAACAYTTTCACATTATCAGAAGTATATTTTTCGTAACCACTTCACAGAACTATCAGTTCTGACACAGAACTATCAGTTCTGACAAAGCATTATCTATACTGATTTAAGTTAATGCTCCACACCTGTGGCAGCTTTAATTGATCAATAACAAACATAATGAAGTTTATTCATTTTGGAGTTGCAAGGAATGAGCTACAAATTACCTCACAATTAGCTTTCATTGCCTACAAAAATTCTGATTGGCCATGCTACTTTTCAATCATATTTCAATCATATTTCATTTCATTTCATATTTCACGTCTCAGCCTTGTGGACTACGAACTGATAGCTCAAAGTCTAATTTGAAACCATTTGATATCTATTATAACAAGAGTAGTTGAATCTATGGCGTTGTACTGTGATAGTTGCCCAAGAAAACTAGATGTTCCTAAAAACAAATAGTTTCCGGAGAAATGTGTTATAGGGCGAGTATTTGTTTTCCAGAACATCCAGTTTCCGTGGGCAACTATCACAGGAGGGGTACTCCGCTATATTTGCTATTCGGGTATGTGCAGCTCGATAAGGTCCCTTTTTCAGAGCTCCAATCCTGGGATAGGGTATCATGTTTTGCACAGTTGTCTGGGTAGTCTTTCGGTCTGGGATCGTCTGGGATAGGGTAGAAGTTTTGTCTGGGATAGGGTAGTAGTTTTGTCTGGGATATGGTAGTAGTTTTGTCTGGGATAGGGTAGTAGTTTTGTCTGGGATAGGGTAGTTTTTTGTCTAGGATAGGGTATATCTCATTGTCTGGGGTAGGGTGGAGTTTTGCCTGTGATTGCATCTGCTAGACCACGCTTTCAGTGCTAAAATAATGTATCTTTCACGATGCCCAAGATTTCAACTGCTCTATTCAACAACAAATTTTTCAAAGCAGCAGGCTCTATGCACCGTTAGTAGACCTACTTGGCAGGCATCACATGGTCAATTTTCAACCAATGAGAGTGGATTACAATGGAGTACAATTTCACAACTTAGAGCAGTGAAAGAAGAGCTGCCAAGCTTTTGTTACCTGTGGTCTATATGTTACTTTCACAAATTTAGTCTTCTTTTTTCTAATAACTGTAATCCTTGATGTTCCAGGAGCCATTTGATAGCCATGTGTACGTTGAGCGTTTGGCTAGCACAGTTGAGGGAGGAGGTAATAGAGGGGCATTTGATGCAGTCAAGTTATCAAAAAAGTTTGAAAATACCATTCGTGAGCTTGTTGCTCTAGATGAGAAAATGCAAGGCCGAATTAATAAACTTGAAGAACTGTGTGTAAGAGAACAAGAAGAACACAAACAAACAGCTGTTGACTTGGAATCAACATATAAGGTATTGTTATGGAATTTACTAGAATTTTTTATTTTTTAAATTTCAATACACGCTGCTTATTTTAAAACACTGCTTACTAGGCCAAATGTAATCAGTAATATTGTTATTTTAAAACACTGCTTACTAGGCCAAATGTAATCAGTAATATTGTTGTTTTAAAACACTGCTTACTAGGCCAAATGTAATCAGTAATATTGTTGTTTTAAAACACTGCTTACTAGGCCAAATGTAATCAGTAATATTGTTATTTTAAAACACTGCTTACTAGGCCAAATGTAATCAGTAATATTGTTGTTTTAAAACACTGCTTACTAGGCCAAATGTAATCAGTAATATTGTTRTTTTAAAACACTGCTTACTAGGCCAAATGTAATCAGTAATATTGTTGTTTTAAAACACTGCTTACTAGGCCAAATGTAATCAGTAATATTGTTGTTTTGAAATATACACGTATGTTAAAGAAGGGTAGATTTAATGTCTAGTGTCAAAATTTGAACACACATTGATAATCTCTCTGAGAATTCTTTGTTTCCACATGTTGCATCTGCAACACTGCTTTTAACAAGATGATCTTTGTACAAATCTCGGTCAACATTTTAAAAACATTTATCAGTTGAATTGCCCCTTTGCAGGTTGCTTTCGGATACTTCCAGGAACTGGATGATCGCATAAACTATGTAGCTACTAAAGTCGTTCATCTGGGTGACCAACTTGAAGGGATTAATGCACCAAGATCAAGAGCTCAGGAAGCACAAGAACTAATGAAGTACTTTAAAGAGTTTAGYTCACAAGATGAACTCACATCTGAAGTATTTACAGACCCTGAACAGGTTCAGTGTTTTTTGCACCTATGTGTTAAATTGTTGTTTTTTTATATGTTACAGGRTCATCACTACTTACTTAAATTTCCTCGTCCATAATACTATTGAAAACTACACTTAGGGTGTATGACACCTGATAGGGTATTTTTTGCCCACCACTGAGTCATGGCTTTTGGTTTTGGTCTTTAATAAAAAAATAATAGGCTACATTTTAATTTTAATATTCTGGCATGTTTTTGAGGAAAAATCATTTTATTAGGTACAACTATCGATTTCTTCTCACCTAAAACAACACAAGTGCAGCATCTGTAATTGTTATTGCATTTGAGAGCATCTCAGAACAAAGCAGAATCCTAATCACAGAATACTTGTTTTACTTGTTTGTTTTTTTTTTTTCAAATTGGACCCTGTATGCGTCATGTTTTTTGTAAGCATGAGTGGCATATAAACTRCAAGTTTTCGCTTATTTTATACTCTCCTTGCCTTCTTATGGCTTTGACTGTGCATTTCACAAGTTCAAAATCAGTGTATATCTGCAAGAATTTTCTAATAATAGCACACATCAAGAAAATRACTAAACACTAACATACACAATCGCAAAGCAACCCAGAAAGCCAGATAGATTACTGTAATTAATTCCTATTAATGTTGCAACTTAATTTTGCCTAGATATATAGATTTGAAGTGTATTCTATGGTATTTTATAGATACATGAAGCTGCTAATATCATTCAGAAACTATCAATAATAGCACAAGAATTACCATCTGACAGGTATGTGGTGTTAAATACACAGCTGTTTCCTATTTAGAAACACAGCTAATACTAGTTTACTGATAGTTTCCACCTTTTGTGCTGATATCAGACCTCTCACCCTTTTCTTGATAAAATTATCACGAATGTAATTAGCAATAAATGTTTGGTCTAAGAAATAGATATATATTCGATATTTGTATTTGTAATGTATTTTCAGATTTGAAGAAGTCAAGGATAAAATTCAAAGTATGTATTTTATTCTTTCATTGCCTCTTTAAAATTCAAATTAACAAAATTTTGACTGATCCATCTTGCTGTACAATAGTCTCCTTCACGATTCGGCCATCTTGTAAGCAACCATGCATAGACGTGATACCACTGTTGAGCGAAGATACCTAAAGTAGGAAATCCATGCAATGACAGATCTTTCACAACCAATGGATAATTGTTATAAATATCCATAGGTAGGAAAGAAGGTTTCTATCATTGCATGCTTACTTTCTGCCAATAGTGGTCTCTCATGAAGGAGACTATCATAAAATGCAAAATTAATGAGAATAAATCAGTATAAATGAGAATTCACCACGCATTATTTAGATCTATGTGCAACATTCAACTTGTCTGTCTTGCTGTTCATCATTAATTTGTTTCATTATTTCTTCTAGGTCACTATTCTCAAGTGGAGAGTAATCTTATAAGACAGTTTAAAAATGCGCATCACGAGGGAAACAGACAGAAAATGAGAGCATGTGCTGATACCCTTGTTCCTTTTAAGGTAAATATGATYGAATGAAGAAAGAAAAAGTCCTTTTATATTTAAAATGTTTATAATGTTGGGCCGCTTTATTTCCTTTAGTAATTTGTTGTATGGAGTGATCTTGTCCTTAATACATATCTGAGTGCATGTTTATTAAACTTTTCAACTTGAACATTGCGAATGCCTCAGACATTTTTTAGCCTGTTCACTGTCAAGTAGAGTTCCATAGTTGACACATGTGTAGGGCGAAGGTGCTTCAACTGGTCAAGGTGTTGTAGATAGGAGTTTGAGCTGGTGTTGGAGTTGTAGATTGGTCTTTGCCTGGTGATTTGTACAGGTAGGACTTCAGCTGTTTAACAAAGTTTGGGAGCCAGACTGAACACTGTTGTCTGCTGCCCATCAGGGTGGGGTGCCTGGTGGGGGTTCACCAGAAGCAGGTCAACCTTGTTGTGTATTATGTGGAAGAGGGTGGTCATTCAAGGACCATAACCTTTCAGGGTCAGGACAAATTGTACGGTCSTCAATAACTTAGGYSASTAAAGRGWGAAATTCTTGCTATCTTTAAAGATTGGMATCTTGTGCAGCATCCATGAACGACTTGAGGTTRAGATCATTATSAGATAATGATAACAGATATATATACTCCTGTCAAGCTATGGTCTTCAACTATTGACATCATTTTTTGTTAAAGCAAGTTACCTCRTTGGTCACCCCAAAAGGTGACTGGGTGAACTAAAAGAGATCACCCTTGGCTTCAAAGGCAGTGTAACATTTTTCCAAGTCTTTTCTAATGTTTCACAATTTTTGTAGCCCTTTAAAGCTGCAGTTATACAAGTGTTTTTTAATGCAATTTTCGGGTACAATGAAAGCTTAACATCGAATTTATCGATCCAGCATTGTTGCTTGTGTAGCCACATCATGCGCTGGTGATTTTGAGAAAATCACGTAGTCTGTGCAAGCTAAAAATTGCTCATGTAACCGGGGCTTAAAATTATATTGTTTCAAATTCAAAGGAAATTTTTTAGATTTTGATCTCATTTTGAGAGATTGTAGTGTGAGATTTGCAAATAGATGGATCAATGGTGGATCAATGTTTGACCAGTTACAGAMAGTAGTGGTTTTGTTCCCCCATACTCAAATGTGACACTGCCATGTTGAGATTGGAAGTGGAGCTCAAAGCGTTCTGGCATCATCTAGTATCAGCCTATTTCTATTTCTGTCCTTTGTTAAACTAGTGTCTCGTTATATATAGAAATTAGCTTGATGTCTTGCATGTGGCGTAACTTGAATGGCCTCATTGGTCCAAGAATCATTCATTATTATGAGTTTTTTATCAGCCATATAATTGTAAAGATTCAAGGTTTGGACTACTTTAAGCAGATTTAGTAAATTAAATTCAACAATGCCAATCGCAATCTGTGAACTATTTTTTTTTTAATTGTATAGCCGAACAGAGAATTGCAAGTTCACTCAATTGTACTTTAAAAACGATGTCAATTAACTTGTTTTACAGGGATATTCTCAATGCATTGATACATTCATTGACCAATGCCAACAAGGACAATTCTACAAAAAAGATGTATTTGAAGCAGCAATACCATTATGCGAAAATGTGCACAGTCAAATCGATGATGTCTTTGGAAATAATGCTGAAGTTGTCATGGGAAAACTTGTTCAAAATATTCATGAAGGTGTATTTCAGGTAAGTGCACTCTTCAGATTCATGTATTTTCAGAAACAAGTAGAAAGGAGTTTAGGACTGGGGACGAATTTCTAAAAYGAATCTAATTAAGTAATGAGACCCATCACATTACAGTCCTCTACKCGTTTCTTAAAAGACCAAGTTAAAACTAAGCGATTTTAAAAATTAAAAAAAAAATTAAAAGCGATTTCCACTGTGAAAAAGTCCATAATATAAAAAAACTGACAAAATGAGACTGTATATAAAGAAGACCAACGAAGACGAATTTTAAAACGGCATTTTGAAGATATCATTAAAAGCATGTATTCAACAAAAAAATCATAGAACTCCACAAAGGAGAAATCATTTTCCATTTATTATGTGAGATGCGTGATTATTTATGTCACATCCCTCTCAACATAGTTAGTAATAGTTATTACTAACTATRCTCTCAAGGATTGCATTGTGAGATCAAAATCCTTTTTGATTACTGTAAAGAGTGGATATCGAAAGTAAATTCTACAAAACGGAGATACAGGTTCTGTTCTTTAGTGTCCTTTATCAAATAAGCAAAGTCTGTCAGCTTTTCTCTTCTTGAATTAGGGCAGGCCAAGTTGATTCTTAGCTGTGTGCAGCACGTCTTTTAACTTTCTGTAGTCCACAATTGATGGTCTCGTGTGAAGATAAGCAGTGAGAGAGTAAAGTCTTCTTGCTCATAATCTCGTAATTTTCCACATTTGCATCTGAGTGTGTCAAATGCACATTACGATATCACTGGTCTGCGGCTACCCTGGTTCCAGAGGCTTTTATATTATTTAACTTGCATGTGCCGGGCCGCAAAGCAGGGAGACGTTTCCTTCAATTGGTTTGTTTTTACGTAAAAACAAACCGATTAATGGGAACGTTTTGCTGCTCCACGGCTTGATGACATAGTAAGCAAAAGAATGAAAGATAAGCCTCTACAACCAAGGTAGTCTGTGGCTTTTTGTGAAAATATCACATACAGATTGATAGTTCATACTTCATCTTTTACAAATACCTAAAAAAGAAAC